TGATGTGTATATATATATATGTATCTGGCCATGACAGTGCTTTCTCCTGAACATGTTTACGACAGATTCGACACGCTGCCGCTAGGGTTGCTGCTACTGTTCTGGAATTCAACTCAATGCCGGTCCTCTTCCAGGAAGAAGCAAGGCGAAATTTCGTGAAAGCCTGAGCGAATAAAAGCATGGTGATCTCCTTTAAGATCAGGGTGGCTCAAAAACACTTCAAATGTGAAATGGAGCACTTGCCATCCGTGGTTAGCCCCACATAAATCTCCCTAACCTCCCCACAGCAGGCACCGATGCTGAAGCTGTCATGGGGGCAATGCTCTCGAGACAGGCCAAGCCTTGACCAATTTTGAGCAGAAAGCAGCCTGTTAGACAGACACCGATTTGATGTTGCAAGGAACAAATGCAGCAGCGCCTCAACGTCCTCGAGGTCACTTCCGCTGCGCTGGTAGCAACCTCTTGCAGTTTACCGCCTGTTTTGGCTGCGAGCAGGAGAGGCTTCACACAGCCCTGGAAGTCAACGGGGCGTAGCTCAACTGCACGAGGGGTTGCTGGCGAGTCGCGCTTTGGTTTGTAGTGGGGATGGAGTCAGGAATAGCGGCGCACACATGCGCACACAAGTTGGGGTAGCGCTCTAAGAACAACACCCGTATGTATGCATGCGTCACAGAAACGACGATTCCAACAATAAACCACAATAGGTTTTTGAGAGCATTGACAGTAGTTGCTCGCAGGGGGCCCTGGTTCCAATTTAACACATGGAATACCAAGTGGATCAACGAAAGCCGGCTCATGCCGGTCATGGTTCCAACGACGGCCGTCACTTTCTTTCTGCCCCAAAACCCCGGCAACAAATGTCCAGACTGAAGTGTTGCCCTTCTCCCGTATGCCCCTAATCTCTTGCATGTATAACTTCTGTATTTTTTGTCAGCGAGTCTCACACCAAGGCTGATGCAATACATCCTGGCCACTCAGCCTCAGGCGGGGGCTTCAAGCTCGAGGGGTTCGACTCACGTGCCTGGAGATACATGGGTTTGCATAGGAAGTAAGAACGGATGGATTCAAATTCTACGCTTCGCTTGCTGGTTTTTTTTCACCAGGGTCACCGCGCAAAGGGGGAAAGCCAGCCTGCAGAGGGGAAGCCAGTCTTGTATATAAACCGAGGCATGGCAGCCAATGCTGCCACGACCATCCGAGCTTGTTCTTTCCCACTGGCTGGAAGAGAGGCCGGCTCGCATCATGGCACGCTGCCGACCATATCCAAACAGAACCATCATCCATTCTTGGCTGAGCTTGCTTTTTTGATTGCTCAGGCCCTCTGAGCCAGAGGTTGAGCTTTGCCAGGGACAGCAAGTGGGGGAGGTCCTTTTTTTTTGGGTCGTTTGTGCGCATCAGGTTTTGGAGAGCTTGGTATTCCTACCTCCACTCCTCTAAATCAAATTCCAGTATCATTGGGCTCCATTTTGGCGCGGCTTTACAACATCTTAGAACATTGGGCCAGAAAATATGATCCACCCCAGTCTTGCGGGTAGTCTTTTGCTTACTGCCAATGATCCCAAGCTTCAGTTTTTAGGGTTTTCTTATGCGTCCGGTGTTTGTGCCGTTGGGATGGAGCTGTCATGGCTTGAGGCTGTTTTTGTTGGCGTGCATCGCTTATGTTGGAAAAAGAGTATTTGCAGGGCCTCGATTCAAAGGTCTGACTCTGTGTAAAATTAACATGCCCGTTGCTGAACCCCTAGGAATGAAGACCTCCAGTCAAAAGAACAAGCCACTGACCCTAAATCAGTAAACCCGGAACTTTCAGTTGAAAAGTTCTGGACCTCGAGATCGTTTAATCTGATTGTATACAAACCGAGGCATGTTTGCCGATGCTTCCACGACCTTCGGAGTTTCTTTTGGGCCAGCCCTTGCTGGAAGAGAGGCCGGTTCGCGCCATGGCGCCGACAAGTGCTTTAGGTTGAGTAGGAAGGTCACAAGCACGTTGCCATTGGCACAAAGCATCTCGGGCCAACGCCAGGCAATGCCTGGCTTTATGCAGTGAAGCTGGCGTCCAGCAGGTAATTGTGATAACAAAATTGAAATTACTTGAAAAAGTAGTTCCATTTTCTGCTTCTATTATCACTTGTAGCTCTGGATAAGCCTACAGGCTTTAGAGACGAAAGTCCTCGTGGCTACGATACTTTGGGAAGCCTGGGGCAGTAGGTAAACCATGGCTAAAAAAATGCTCGGGCTACAAATCTTAATTTCCTTCATCCCTCTTCTATTTTACGCAAAATCCATATCTTGGGTGAGGCTTGAACGGACTGAGCAGTGGCGGCCTCTATCAAGAGTTTTAGGGTTTAGGGTTTTTAGTTTGTTTGGGGTTCAGGGTTTATAGGGTATCTAGGGTTTAGGGGTCAGGGTTTAGGGTTAAGGGTTTTTGGTTTAGGGTTTAGGTATGGCGTTTTTTGGGTAGTTTCAGGCGTCGATTCCCTGGAAAGATTGCACAGGTCGCTAGACAGGGTGTACGGAGTCTGCTGCCGACCCTGGCTTCGAGGGCGCCATGACAGCGCTGGCTGCCGAGATCGAGAGCCTGCCTCCTGCGACACTGTATTTGACCCTGTCAAAGCTCTCCACGAAGGGTCTGCGGCTTCTGCTGGATGAATCCATCTCCGTTGTCTCTGACAGACTCAACACGGGAGATACAGCAGCAAGCCAGCTGAGGGACTTGCAGCATGTCAAAGCTGCTCCCGTGACCTCTGCGCCAACCTCGGGGCAGGACACGTCGGATGATTCTGCGCCCCCTGGTCTGCCTGCGCAGTCGCCACCTGCTGCTGTGGAGCCTGCTGCCAGCAAAGCTCCTGATGTGGCCCGTTGCTGTGCCAGAGCCGATGGACATCACTGGCGGCGGGCATCTGACAAGGGCTCTGACCCGGACCACACTGGTCTGAAGCGCAAGGGGCGCTGGTGCAAGACAGAGGAGGACAGTCTGGTTCTGCATAGGCGCTGCCTTCCTGGTCCTGCTCGGAGGGGTGGGTGACGCCTGTGATCCCTCCGCGCCAATCCGGGCCCGTTGGGGCGTCCCTCTGTCTGGCCCTATGAAGAAATGTTTCTTCTGGAGCCGTGTGATCTGCCTGCCTGGCTGCCAGCGCAGACTGTACCTGAGCCGTTGCAAACACTTGAAGTTGCGCGGCTTCTGTACATACAAGTGCCCCATTTATGCTGAAGGCATAGAAAACAAGGACAGCAAGTGCCTTAATCTGTGCCTTCGCCCTGTCTGCCTGCACGAGCATGGACATGCAGATCACTACTGCAGTCACTGCATTTCTGACGGCAGCGCTCGCAAACACAAGGCCCAGAAGTCTGAGGCCTCTGCCGCTGCCAGGCACCAGTAAGTCTGCCTGCTGTTACCCTTAGGGAATTATAATGGCCCATTATCTGGTTTTGTTTCTGGTTTCTGACTACTGGTGCCTGCAGACTTGTAGCCTGGCTGCGTGCTTGCCAGGGCTTCCAGCCTCGCTGGCTGTGCATTTTTATACTGCTTTGGCTCACCAGGCAACGTCTGCCTACTGAGCGCGTGATCTGCCTGCCTTCTCGGGCCTAAAAAAGGTTGCTCGCTGCAACTGCTGATGTAGGCTTCCTTGCGGGGGTTGACCTTGTGACTTTGCTGCATTTGCTTTTCGCAGGAGCAACGCCCGTCTTCAACGCGCCGGTCTGCCTCGCCTTCGGCGTCTTCTAGGTCTGCGTCTGAGGCTGGCACTGTCTCTGCAGTGCCTGTATTTACTGCTATGCTGCCTTCCCCGGGATTTCCAAGAAGGGCGTGGACTTTCTTTCATAGCTCCCTGGCCTTTTGGCGCCTGCCCCTCTATCTCATCGGCCGAGGGTTCCTGGCTTGGGCTTGGCTGTGCTTTCCCGGCCTGCGTGTCTGGAGCCTGTGGTTGTTGCATGCCCCTTGCCTGGGTTCGGTTCCGCGGTGCTGCCTCCGTTCACCAGTTTGTATTATGCGTTACTGACCTGCAGCTCTCCTCTGCGCTGTGGGTGGAGGTTAAAGATGCTAAGCAGCCTGCGGCATTGCTGGCTAGGGCCGTGCAACGGTATGCACCCTCCACTTTGCAGCGCTATCTGGCTGTCTGGATAACAGTGGTGCCAGTTTGCTACCTGCTCGTCTTCTACTCCTGCTGCACCTGCTTCTGGCATCCTGCCTGACTGGTTGCTGCAAAATTCCAGTCGCCAGGGCCTGGCCTCTGGCCCTTGGAAAGCTTTGTCCTGGATGTCTCGTGTGGCGGGCCTTCCTGGCGTTCCTGTGTGCATCCAGCCCTCAGCCCAGGCGAGAAGCCTTACCCTTCTCTGCTGGCTGGAACGTCGGGTCATGTCGGCCGACTCGTCTCTGGCTGATAAGTATGCTGCGGGTTGCCTCCTCTGTGCCATATGAGGTTTCCTGGGTTGGGCGGATGCCCTTTGATTGGCCCCATCCTCCATTCAGGTACAGCTGGGGCAGGGCTGCCTGGTGGGGATATCTTTCAGAACTAAGACGTCCAAGACGGGCATGTGCTGGGCGCCCTGCTGCTTGGCCTCGTGGCCATGGCTTGCTCTCAACCTACTGAGTTGAGCACTGCGCGTCGTGCGCCGCCGCCAAGGGACGTGAACCAGCTCACGGACGCAGAGCTCAGACACATCGTCCAGACTATGACTGCTGCCACCAGAGCGCGGATGCATCGCATCTTGTCGGAGCACGTGACCCCTGCTCGCTGTCAACGACCTTGCGGCAATCCTTCCTGCGGGCGTCTTTGCAACCGACGCATGCTTCCTGATCGGTCTGACGAACATGTGCATCACTTCTGTAAGTCTTGTCACAGGGCAGGCTGGTGATCCGAGCATGCAGCATCAGCTGCAGGGAAAAATTTGCATGTGTGCTTCTGTCATGCCGGGCTTGCTTGTTCTGCCAGCTTGACTGCTAACTGTGCATGTCGCAGCCGTTTCTTTTGCAGTGCTATTCACCTTGACGTCTTTGCTAGGCCATGGCTCACCCTCGCATGGATGATGCAGCCTATCTCACCTCACTCCTTGCTGAGTGGGGCGCGCCTGCTACTTTGCAGGCTGCGCTGACAGCAGGTGGCTTCAATACTCTGGCCACGGTTGCCTTCACGGCATGGATGCCTTTAAGAGCTGGCTGTTCTGCTCCAATCACCCTGACGTCATGCGTCTGGCTTCGCTTTGCTCCCGCCCCGCACCCTCCTCTGTCAGGGAAGCGATCCTCGGATGGCACGTTTCTTACTCGCCTTACTGCTCTGTGTCCGCAATCCCTGGCTGATGCCATTGCCAAGATCTTCGGGTCTGCAGTTTCTGTGGGCAAGGAGGAGATACCGTTTCTTCAGTGGGAGCAGCTTCTGCCTGCTCGTCTCCCCTTCTCTGTCCCTAAACATAGGATTGAGGATGGGTGTGGCACGTGTAGCTCTGCCTCCTGCATGGGTTGTGCCTCGTGAGCCGGATTCCTTTTCAGGTCTGCGCCATGCTTGGGCAGACACCTTGCGTTCAACTGGGCTTCTGCCGCAAATCCTTCAGCGCCTTGGCGCCCCTGACAAAGCTGCGCCGTTGTCGGATGCAGAGCTCCAACCCTTTCTGCGTGCGCTCGGAAACTGGCTTGGGGTGCACTCTGACGCAGTCTGGAGTAAATGCCTGGAAATCACCCCGGGACAGCCATTCCGGCTTAACCTGTGGCGGATTCTGGCTGAGATATCCAACGACCCTGACTCAGCCTTTACTGACCAGCTCTCAGCTGGAGTCTCGTTGGGGGTCCATTGCCAGCTTCAGCCGTGTACTGTCATGGCCCCGGGTCTTCCACCAGATGTTGACCCTCGTGCTCTGGAATGCTGCCCTTGCCTTCTGTGGACAACCAGCAAGGTTGGATTAGAGAAGTCACTGAAAGGTTACCTGCGCTGCGTCAGCAGTATCGCCTCTGCGCCGTAGGCAAACTAGGCCTAGTGAAAGCGCCCGGTAGGCCGCCGGCCGCGTCTGGTGGTTGACAGCTCTGTCTCTGCCGTCACGGAGAACACTGTGCTCCCTAATCGCTCCTGTAACCCCACCTTGGCCCACCTGCGCCGGTGTCTGCCTGTGGGCGCAGCCCGTGAGGATTTCACTGCCCTGGTTCTGGACGTGTCCAAGGCGCAGCGCCGAATCAAAATTCGTCCGGAGGATCAAGGCCTGCTGTGCTTTCATCGTCGGGATAAGTTGTTTCAGTGTCTGACCCTCAACTTTGGGGCGAGGGCCTCCAGCTATTACTGGGCACGCACGGCTGGCCTTCTCTGTCGAGTTCTGCGTCGCATCGTCTACGTGAATCATGGCCTTATGATTTTTATGTAGATGACTTGCTCTGTCTGTTACGCAAGTGCACATCTCCGCTTCTGGCAGCCCTAATCGTGGTCTTCTTGCTCATTCTTAATGTGCCTATGTCTTGGCACAAAGCCAGTCTGTCCAGCCATCAGGTCTGGATTGGTTGGAGCGTCGACCTCACCACATTCACGGTCTGCATGGAAGCAGAAAAGCAGCAACGTTTACTTCAACTGTTGCTGTCCGTTCTTGAGGCCAGGCATGTCTCTAGACATGACGTGGAGCGCCTAACGGGCAAGCTTTTGTGGCTGTCAGGTCTGTTCTCCTTTCTGCGTCCAACTCTGGCCCCACTCTACTCCCTGCAGCATGCAGGCCAACTGGTGATGGCTGCTCTTACTCCTGATCAGTGGGCTGCTTTGCGTCCGTTGCTCAACGCTGACCTCTTGGTCACCGGTTCCATCGGGCGTCCCTCTGTTCCGGTGGGTTCCACACTGGTCCGCCTGGCGCGCCTGCCAGTCTCCGAATTGTCGCACATTCCTGCGTGGCTCCCGGAGTCACGTCGTATCTGGGTTCAGGTCTCTCATCGACACACCTCATCAGTTTTAGTTACTGACGAGGTTTGTGAGGTGCTGGCGCTCTGGAAAGATTTCTTGCACCAATCCACGTGTCGGCAGAGCATTCTGTTGTCGCCCGCCTTCCAGTGTGAAGCCTTCGCAGACGCGTGCGCAGACAGTTCTTCTGTCGGTCTGGGAGGGTATGTGAAATTTCCCTCTGGCATCAAGCGCTTCTTCCAGCTTGCAATTTCCAGGGCTGCTTTGGCTTCACTGTGCCCCTTCTTTCCCAGTGATGGCAATCCTCAGCATTTCATTGCGGCGTGGGAGCTTCTGGCGCAGCCTGGTGTGGACGACTCATGCTATGCTGCCTCTGGCTCATCCTAATCTGCGCATAGGTCTCCGATGCGACAATGCTGCCTCCGAAGCTGCTGCGTGGAAAGGCCTGTCACTTGCCAAGGGTCTCTGTGCGGTTCTTCGCCAGTTTTGTGATCTGCAGCGCAGAACCTGCATTTCAGCGCGCATTGAACATGTCCCTGGATTTCTCAACGACATTGCTGACTCTCTCAGTCGTGATGGGGACCCTCTGGACTTGGGATTCTGCGATGAAAATCGTATCTGTCCCCCTTGGCGGGAATTTCTTGTTCCTCTCAAGCCTCAAGTCTCCCCTCTGGAGGCTGAGCTGTCTCAGCACGTTCCTGCTCTTCTGTGAGTGGCTGTCTTTGGGTGGGTCCCGCTGGGTCAATTCTGAGCAGTCCTTTAGATTCTGGCCCACTAATGCGTGCAGGCGGTAGTGCTCCGCCAGCAGGTGTTGAGCACGCCGCTTCTCTGTCCACTGGTCTGTTGTCTGCTGACTTCTGACCAGCACTGGACTCCAGCCACTCGCGTTAAAAGAAAGGGTTGAGCGTCCGCCTCTGCCTTGCTTTGTACTAGTAGGAACGGACTAGTCTTGGCAGTAAACTGCGGCATTCAGGGACAACCCTGGCAGCAAGATGACAAGTTGACGAAAGGTAGGCGCTCAGCCATACCACAAATGAACCTTGCTCCCTGAACATTATGGAGGTTCTAGATGTACCCCCACCGAACACCCAGAAGCCAAAGGCAGCTCATCATCGGTTTCGGCTTTGGCTGGGGTCTCGCGGCAACTTGCCCAAGTCCAGCGATTGCAGGAGCTTTTGGCTCAGCTTTCAGTATTTTTTTGAGTTAGGGTTTAGGTTTTTTTTGAGGGCGTGGTCAAAAACACAAGGGATTCCAGATCGCTGCGCTGAGTGCATAGCCCTTGACTTTTGTCTTGGGGGTTTGGGGGATATACTACCATGAACAATGGAGCAACTCAGCTTCATGGGTAAAGTATTTTACATACCTGAATGGAATTAGCAGCAGATTTGGAGGGAAATGGCTGCAGTCTTTGGAACTTGAGTGTGAGAGTGTCCTTTCGGGATCTGTGTCCTGCTTTAAGTCCCCAACCCCTAGAGGGCTGATCCCGTACGCCGTGGATGCGGACGGGGCCGGCCTTTCTTTCGCAATCTGCTTCCTGTTGACTTGCATCACTTGGATGACGCTCGTCTGCGCGGAAGTTCGGAATTTGCGGGTTGAGGGTGGTTGGACTAACTTGCGTGTCATAAATGTATGTGTTGTGAGGCAGCTCCCGAAAAGACGGTGCCTGATAGAGATTTGGGAGGAATGTATCAAATTGTCTCAACACGCCCCTCCCCAAAAAAGAATTGTCTAGAAATTTGGTTTGATTGTAACAACTCCCTACCTAACGCTACCTGCTTCTTAGAGGCTTTCATCCTGAAGCATATGCTGCATGATTTGCAGGCCGCAGATTAGTTAAGTTGATGCGGCCAGTTATTGGAGCCATTTTGGGTTTCTGAAGGTTTTGACTTTCAAATATTCACGGCAAGCATTGAGCGGCCCTTTTCACGACTTGGGTTTGTGTGTTTTGTGTTTTACTTGGGAGCAGATAGGGTGCACATAGCTTGTCAGGGTTGTGGGAACAATAGGGTTTCCGTGGCTTGGAGTGGATTCTAGAAACATGCTTTCTCAGACAAATATGGTCGTTTCTCAAAAATAATAAGGGGGCCAAAAGCAATTATGGATACCCCGAATTTTGGGAACCCCCCGAGTTGAAAATGTCCGTTCTGGGAATACCTGCATCCCATGCTGAGAATTCTGTCGTAAAAAATGTAGCCTCATGCGAAACAAGTTGCCCTTCCAATTGTTTTGAGGGGTTTAGCTAATTGCTGGAAAGTATACGTAACGGACAGTAAAGTACTCTAGTACGGGTGGCAGGGATGTTTACGAACAATGCCGCCTCGCAAATTGAGGACCGCGTGGTTGTCCTCCTCGAGAGGACGCCAGCCGCTACACCAGTAGCGGAAGCGCACATGGTAAATTGATAGCCGAAATCCCAATTTCTTAGACCCAAAAGTGTAGGGCACGAGCCTAAGGTAAGTCTAAACAACCCCATGATTTCGGGGAATCACTTCCTGAACACCCGCCCCATAAATGCCAAAGACTAAAGGCGCCCCATCCCTGAAACTGTGAAAGGAGCTCCCTAAATCTACAACCGTGGGTCCTATAAACCTTAAGCTAACCAACTCCTAGAAACTAAACCTTAAACCCAGTGTCTAATTTGAAAATGGAGCTCCGGTATCACAGACGTGTGGGAAAATGTGGTTGCAACACAATATTGGCACTTACAGGCGGTTCACGAGGGTGCTCGTCATTGCTCCGACATTATGGTGGGGATGTAGAAATACTAGGTCTGTTTTGGTTACGTGGCCCCTAAAGCATGAACTATATCATAATTGTAAACGCTAGCGCGCGCCCGCCTTGGCTGGCGGGGCTTCCCAATGTAGGAACAGATAATTGTAGATATGTAGGTATTTAAATTAGGTATATAGATACCGTCATATGCCGATATCATACATAATAAAACCCCAGAAGTCCAACTAGGGACGCGTGACCCAGGAAACCGGTGGAAAAAATGTTCGGGGCCGGCTTTCGGACCTTGGGTTTAGGGCTCCGTTGCGGGTTGATAGGCGTTCTTCAGGTTTGGAGATTTAAGGTTTATGGATTAGGGCTTTAGGGCTTAGATTTGAGGCTTCAAGGTCCAGAGAAGTGGGGATTGAAGGCATGGGCAATCGCCTTTCAGGCCTGGTCGTTCGGCATATAGATTTCTAGATCGGCGAAATATCGATTTACGAGTTTACCAATTCCTAAAGTTAGGTGCCTTAGGTCTAAAATTGTATTTCATATATAGCATTCGGAGCCTGAAAACCTTCTAGTGTCATCAATCATTTGGCCAATAATCTACATATATATTGGGGTCTAGCTATAGACCCGTAGCTAAAATTCTTCGTATCTCATAAAAGTGTTCTTATCATAATCTACAGCAAATCCCAATTAAATATATCTTGTAGAGAATCGTGCATGCATCTGCGGGTGCTCCCGCGCCTTCATGCGAAATATGTCTTGCTGCATACTCCTAGAGTCCTGAATTCTGGAGGAGGCTGGAATTTCATAAAGGATGGAGGCTATGTCAGGCTGGACTATAGGCTAAACCGCCACCTAATAGGTGCCCTCGACGAACTTTCTCAGATCTCAAATGATGTAGTATGCGTTGGATGAGGTTTCATAGCGATGAATATCAATAATATTCCTGATCTCAAAGTATATCCGATTAATGCCCTGGAGATATCTTGATTTTTCTGAAAATTTCCTTATATAAATCGATCTGATATATTACGTTAAAGATAATTTTCAATTCTTCGATAAGATTTTTTTTAGAAATTTTAGGTATTGGATATGAAGATTTGATTATTAGATAAGATTATAAATAAAATTCGTATTTTGATTTAATAAGATTATGATTAGGAAATTGATTTTGATTTACTAGAATCTAAATTTTCTGACGAATTTATTTAGATTTCATATAATTGAATGTATTTATATTATAAAAAATGATTAGATTTCTTAAGCTCTCTTATTAGATAAATATAGTAAATATAAATCCCACGGAAAATCGCTCTGAAGTGAAAGGTCGTACGACTAAAAATCGCTGAGATTTTTAAGTATGTCACTTCTCTAAAAATTTCGAAGATTTTTGATATTGCTTCATCATAAATCTCGAAGATTTTTGAATTCTTTAATTTTTAGGGGGCCTTTAAAACCTCCGAAGGACTAGAATTCTTAGAAGGCCTCAAAGAAAATTTTAGAAGGATTATAATTAAAAGCGGGTTTATTTATTGATTTAAGTCGACGCAGAGAGATACCAGAGATATTTAGATACGTAAATAAAAATCTTTCTAGATATTCAACGATTTCTTTCTTTCTGATTTTCTGCCTTCTTGACTCTTCCCCTCCAAGAGTGACTTTCCGCGTTATTTATTTTTCTTTGAATACTTGGGCGGCTGATCTACGGAACGTAGAGAGTTAGGAGGCAGAACCCAAAGATTTCAGAATTTATAGATTCTTTCAGAATCTATAGCTTATCTATTTTCTTGAAATCGTCAATTTAAACCTCAGATCTTTAAATTTCCTAGTAAAAGTCAAAAGATACGACAAGCTTCAAAATTTCGATGAGTCATTGCCTTATATATAAACGAGTGGTTTCTCAAAGAAATCTCTATTCTTTGTCCCTGGGATTCACTTTTGATTGATTCTCTTCTTTGAGAGTTCTCTCCCCGAGGCAGCCACTGATTACGCTAACCTGCCCCTCAGCGCAGGTCCGAAGCGATAGATGACCACTTAGCTTTAGAAAGATCTTTTGGACGGAGGTCTCACTGAGAAATTACTCGTGCATTATCTCCGTTGGAGCCCTGGACGTTCGGCGGGTGGTGGCGGACTTTAATGCATGGTCTGGAGACTTGACGTCGTGCGTCCTTTTTTCTTCTACGATAATACGTGAATTTGCCTTATTTTCTTTTGCCTGCGTATCTTCCAAATGGCGGATACGAACTTTGCTCAAAACTTTGGTTGCGTGCGTAGCTATTCGGCGGATGAGTTTGATGCTGTTGAAGGCAACATCCCGCTATTTGCTGAATTTGCAGCAGCAAATCCTCTGCTGGACGATTGCTAAGAGGACCTGGCGGGGGGGAAAGCGAAACGCTGACGTATTGTCGGGTGCGGGGGAACCCGGCTTGGGTCAGAGGAATTTATATAAATCATGCGGATTAATGACGATTTGATATCTCTTGGGTAGGCCTCTTCAATTTGCGAGAACCTAATGCTTCAATAGAATGAGCAGCCATATAAAGATACCCGCGGCTAGCAAGAATATCGCCTGCCATATTAGATTCTTATAACGTGACCTGATGATGCTCTCCCACAAGATAAGCAGCTACTACACGGTGCTTCAGGAAATATCAAGGTAATAGAGC